CGTGGTGACCTACTCTCTTTCTACCTACACCAACCAGCAAGCAACATCTCCACCTCCTGCCTGGCGGTCCTCCCTCCCGCTGGCAAGCATGGTGACCCACAAGCTGGTCCTCCTCTGAGCATCCTCACCAACCAGCTCTCCCTACATCACGTTTGTAACCACACTGCCACTTCCCAGTACCAAGCTGCACTGTACATCCAATACAATATGTATACAGAGAGCACATTGTGAGTTTCCCTTCTCCATCCCATCTTGAGTCAGAACGAAACATCATTACCCCACAAGTTCAGAGGTGAGTTAGGTTAGAGGTGGGTTAGGTTAGTTTAGATGTGGGTTAAGTTAGATTAGAGGTGGATTAGGTTAGTTTAGAGGTGGGTTAGGTTAGTTTAGAGGTGGGTTTGGTTAGTTTAGAGGTGGGCTTGGTTATTTAGGTTAGCCTAGGTTAGTTTTGAGGTGGGTTAGATTTGGTTGGTGTAGAAGTGGATTACGGTAGTTTAGAGGGGTTAGATTAGGTTAAATTAGAGGTGGGGCTAGGTTAGGGTGGAGGAAGGTTAGGTTAACTTGGTATTAGCTAATTTGGAGAAATATTTAGTGAGGTTAAATTTAGTCGTGTACGCCTGCTAATTAACTTAAAACAGTGAAATATTGTATACACCCGGATACTTCTCACACTATTACCAGATGCAATTAGTTATGCTTCGGCTACATGTGAAATAAAAATTGAACTATGTTTGATTTTAGTAGGAATGCATCACTTAGTTGTACAGTATATATATTACAGTGGTGTACTCCGTCTCAGCAATTTAATGATGGCTTTTGTCAATTTGTTTAAAGTCATATGGCCTACTTGTCGTTTCATCACAAACAATAAATTCGAAGTAATGCAAATAGTGAATTGCACTTTTAAATGGATTATAATAATTACCGGGTAAGTAGAGTACGGTACCTGTAGTTTGATGCACTATACTGTACAGGGTGTTCCAAATAAAAGGAGCCTAGTTCCCTTAGAGCCAGAGGTTATTTTTCTTTTAGGTTACTTATTGGTAAGGTAGAGTTAGGTTAAGTGGTGGGATATATTAGGGTAGTTCAGGTGTACTGTATATTAGGATACGTTACGTTAAATTTGGTTACCGGTTGCTTTAAGTTAGTTCGGATCAGATTAGCGTTATGTTATATTACATCAGGTTTAGCGATTGTTTAGGCTAGGTCAGATTGGATTACCGTTAAGATTCCGCGGTTAAGCTTAAGGTGGATTAAGCTGGGGTTGATTTTAAGTGGTCTATTTTTCGTGCGCGGTCTTAAATATACGGTATATTTAACTCCGGGTTAAAGCTCCAGTTGCATCAGTGAATTTCCCATGATTCATTGGTTCGAAGGTTATGTTAGACCTTCGAACCAAGTTCAACAAATATCTGACCATCGAATTGCTGACCAACAAATCTACTGGCAAGCAGATCTGCGTACCCACGAATCTACTGAACCAAGACATTGTGCAGGTACGTACACAATAACAATTCCATCGACTTTTTTATTTGTCTTGAACCTCTGTGGAAATTTGGGATCATCCTAAATTTGCATCTGGACTGTCATGTAAAAGTATCTAGTTAAGGTAGAGTCAGTGTGCCTCCTTACTAGTTTTAAGTGAACGAATCTTAGTTAGGTACTCTCTCATAATGATTTTGATGTTATGTGTCAAGGTTAATTTTGTGTTTTAATTCAAGTAATTCAGTGTAGTGTGTTTCTGACAACCATCAGTATTGAGGTACAGTCACTGCAGAAACTGAAAATACAGGAAATAGTGCCTTTATCATCACTATTGGTTCTCTGTGTTTGTTTTTTGTATGATTTTTTGCCTTGTTATATGTAAGCAAAGTTGGGTCCTGTTAGTACTTGTAGAGGTAACAGACTGGGAACACACACTATTGGCATATACTGTATAGGGCCGCCCTGGAAATATGCATCTTGATGGTTTTGTCGGCTAAGCTTGGTTAAATTGCTTAAATATCAATCATTCATTCATTCATTATAATGATTATTATTGTTTGCTTTACATCATCGATTCTATTGGCTCACCTGAAGTTTAGCCCCACAGCTTATTTCACCTGAAGTTTAGCCTCCATAGCTTATTTCACCTGAAGTTTAGCCCCACAGCTTATTTCACCTAAAGCTTAGCCCCCACAGTTTATTTCACCTGAAATTTAGCCCCACAGCTTATTTCACCTGATGATTAATTAGGGTAGGCTAGCGTTCTGCTATTTTAGTCACAAGTGGGGTACCACAGGGCAGTGTATTGGGCTCGCTGTTGTTTGTTTGTTTCATAAATGACATGCATGACGTTGTACACTCCTCCATGCAAATGTTTGCTGATGACGCCAAGTTATTTCGGGAAATTAAGAACCAAGCCGACTGTGAAGAGCTGCAGAAGGACCTCTGTGGGCTCCATGAATGGTCGAAGAAATGGCTGCTGAGATTCAATGTCACGAAGTGTAAGAGGATGCACCTGGGGCGTACCAACGGTAAGGAGACGTATCATATGTCCCAACGGGATGAAGAAACTGCACTAGTCGAGACTGAATGGGAGAAAGACCTAGGTGTGTATGTTGACAATGAGCTGAAGATCTCGGGCCATTGCGAGAAGAAGGCAAACCAGGCAAATAAATTATTGGGTTTAAAGCCCCGTCCACACGATCGAGCAGTGCACGGCGGGCTTTGCCCGTTTACCGGGCAAAGCCTGTGTGTTGTACACACGGGGGTGGTTGGCGGCAGTCATAGTTGGGCGCCGGTAGCTCGTAGGTGGTCGGCAGTGGCGCGTGCGGTACGATCACCATGGTGTGTCGCAGGAATAATCGCCTGACAGTTAAAGCGAAGAGCATAGCGTTATGTACTATAATAATTGCTGCTATGTACAAAAAGAAGAACCAAATGCAGAAAAGGGAATGGTGCAAAGGGTGGTTAGGTCGGAGAAAAGTATTGGAAAGTCATGCCACGATTTTACATGAACTGCAAGATGGACATGAGCAAGACTTCACCAATTACATGAGAATGGACCCCAACACCTTTTACAAACTTCTAGCGAAAGTGGAACCATATATAAAAAAACAGGATACCAATATGAGGGAGAGTATATCTGCAGAGGCTCGTCTAGAGGCAACGCTCATAAAACTTTAAACTGGGTGCACCTACACGTCACTTCAGTTTAGAACGAGGGGATCAAAACAAAGTTTGTCTCATATAATACCTGCAACTTGTCAAGCCATGTATGAAGTACTCAAGGAAGATTACTTACAGGTGAGACTTGTAGTACATAAAAATTCATTGAATAATGTTAGAATTATGATATGCATAGACAGGAAGCCATGGGACTAGAGTGAGGAGAGCGGCAGGAACGAACACACACGATTGTCCTCATTACATAATACATAAACAATCTCCCGTTTATTGTCACGCCAATAATGTACATTGCATAAGCTTATTTGGTTATACACTGGACATCTGGACCGAGCGGGGAACATATACGTAATCACATTTGCAGTACTTAACTAAGGTTCAGAGTCGTCACTCCATATCCGGCAGCAAACCACCAGGCAGGCCGACCATGATTTCGCTCAACGCCGGGCACGGGCACTCCGCTGGTTTGCCCGCCAATTTTGCCCGATAACGGGCATTTAGCGTGTGCCCGCCGGGCACTGCTCGATCTTGTGGAGGGGCCTTTATAAGAAGGTCGTTCAGATATCTAGACGGTCCGTCCCTCATAACGATCTTCAAGAGTGAAGTGCTTCCCCATCTTGAGTACTGTCACCCCGTCTGGTCCCCGAGATATGCTAGGGACTGTCAGTTGGTTGAAAATGTTCAAAGGAGGGCCACCAGACTGATGCCTGCACTTCGGCACCTCAGCTACCCTGAGAGATTGGAGCGCCTGAACTTGCCTAGCTTATACTACAGACGGGCAAGGGGGGACCTAGTTGAGGTGTATAAGCATCTCAGGGGGCACTACTCAGTCGAGTGTCCTTACTTGGAGCTGGCTGACGCTCGCCCCACAAGGGGTCACAGGTCAAGATTGAAGAAGCCGCAAGTCCAGAAAACTGTGAGGTTTCTACGCCCTTAACTCATGAGACATAAAGACAAGCATGTACTTAGCATGCTTCCCTGTTGGGCGCTGTAGACGCTTCTGCGCTTCACCTTACACAAGGATGTAGGGGAGTGCCCAATAAATAATAATAAAAAAAAACTGAGGGCAAACTTTATCGGAGTGAGGGTTGTAAACTCTTGGAACAATCTACCAGTGAGTGTTGTGACGGCACCGAGTGTGAGCTCTTTCAAGACAAGACTTGACCAACATTGGAGCGGGTGCAGGTATATTCAGGAGCCGGTGCATGCCCAGTATTTGTCAACAGTCCGTGACAGAGACGTGACCGATCGCTCGGGCGGCTAGCGAGCCGATCTTTTGGTGAAGAAGATAAATGAAAAGGAAAAGTAATCAGAGACGTGACCGATCGCCCAAAGCGGCTAACGAGCTGATCAGTGGCGAAGAGGATAAAAGTAAAAAGTAATTGAAATGTGTGCGTTCTCCCGGTGACTGTACAGTTTTCTTTAATGTGTTGTTGCTATGTTAGTTTTCAGCTGAACAATGATAAAAGGAAGCGGTCATGTATGTCATTAATATATTCCAAATAAATCTTAACATCCCCGCTGTTTGTGACGCATTGATTACCACTGCCTGTTCTTAAGAAATGTTTTGATATAAAAAGCAAAATACTTTTACGTAACGAAACTCTTCATAAAAATATTATTGGCATAAAACCTAATGGGAAATGTTTCTAGACCTAATAGGTTCATTACTAAAATATAATAGTTAAAACTGATTTTTTCTTTACTTTGTCAAAAACGTTATAATTCTTATAATCCTTAAAGTTTAAATAAATTACATTATAAACTTATTCGAGCAAGTGACGTTCGGCAACTGAGGCAAGAACAGCAAGATAAGCCCAGTTGCAGCCGAGCCTTGCTCTGAGAGAGTTGCAATCTTGTTGGCAGAAACTCATTGAAAGTTTTTAAAACACCGATCCAGATTTTAGAGAATATCCCGGTTTGTGAATTCTGATCGCCATCCATTTATAGTGAGGTAACGTGCCGAGGACCGTGGACGAGAAGAATGAACCGAGACTTTTGGAGGTGGGTGAGGTTGCAGCTCCTTTAAGTAACGTGTAGTAGTAAGAGATGAGATTAACAAATAAGCTTTAAATTGTGGTAAAATTATGCTGTTTTACCAATTCTTGGTTACTGTAAATTGTTTCTTTGTCGTCATTAGAACTTAACCCAATAATAGACAAGGTACGGTACATATTCCACACCGCAAGTTGGCAGGGGTAGAATCACGTGAGCAGCGATGATATACTTGTGACGGTATACGTACTGTACGTATTTACTAGATAAAACTAGAGAAAAACTCAGAATGGTATTCATAATAACGAAAACTTGAGTGCTTAGAGAGACAGATCACGCCAAATATAGGATGTTTACTGGTACCGTAGCTATATCTCGGATACGTGTATATTGCACCACATTTTGGCCGTAATCTGGATGGTATGAGGTACCGCACATACGAGTACAGTACTTTTAATTCTTTTATGCTGGAAGTTATGATGACCTTCACTTTGATTTGTTGAGTTGATTTATCGTCTTTATTATCGTGTCGAGTCAAATAGACTGCAGAGGAAGAATAACATAGATCATTTCTGAACCGCAAGTCAGATCACCTTCAGATTAAACACCCAGCTTATTTCTCTTCAAGTATAACCACTCTAACCCTAACGCTAACATTAACCTAACCAACCTACTTTAACCTAGCCTACTGTACCTAACCTAACCAACCTAACTTAACTTAAACTTGCCTACTTTGCCTAACCTGACCTGACTCAGTCTAACCTACACATCATTAACCCAGAATATATTATTACATATATCCACAAATGAACTAGAGACAAACCCTAAATATATGAATAAAATGAATTATTAACTCGTCTGCCATTGTGTATAACTCCGCAGAAGGATTAGTTAGTTAGCCTGCCATTGTATGAAGGAGAAATGTGACAGAGTGGAGTATGGCAGGGTAGGGTGGGATATGGCAGGGTACGGTAGGGTATGGCAGAGTATTTCAGGGTGGAATGGCGATGGAAAGGTACGGTATGGCAGAGTAGGATGGGGATGGAAGGGTACGGTAAAGTAGGGCATGGCAGGGTAGAGTAGGGTGTGGCAGGGTAGAGTAGGGTGTGGCAGGGTAGAGTAGGGTGTGGCAGGGTAGAGTAGGGTGTGGCAGAGTAGAGTAGGGCATGGCAGGGTAATAATTTTGTCCATACAGTTTCTATGAGAAGCCTAATAAAGAATCTAGTTCCCTAATTAAAGTTGTCCAAAATTATTACTGCCTTTTTCATTTGTGTTTTTGTTTATTTTCTTAGACTGGCCTAAAAATTCATTAAAATAATCTACATACCATTATTAAAGCAAAAAAAAAAAAAAAAAAAAAAAAAAAAAAAATATATATATATATATATATATATATATATATATATATATATATATATATATATATATATATATATATATATATATATATATATTTATTTATATATTTATTTATTTATTTATCTTACCGGAAACGACAGCCACCATCTTGTTTATGAACGAATTTGACCTTCAGTACCAATGGTAAATATTTCTCTGAATTCCTCAAACTCGAAACCCATCCCAACCCTCCCCTCACCCACCCTCCCCAGATACCAGAATCACCGTCCTATCTTAATTTAATCAAAAGCTACATCCATCATTTTCTGTTTTTGCCTCAACTAGGCTCTGGCCATTTTGTACTGTATATACAGTATATAGCTCAGTGACTCAACAACTTCCTATATCATGGTGTTTATCGGTATTTACTGTAGCATGGTGCACCGGATGATTTTTATTGCATTAGATTCTTTGGGGTTTACTGTACGGTATTGGTATTCTCTATTCATAAGGTGTAGTGATGTACAGTCAGCAAAAAAATATTCTACACCCCTTGGTCTGATGGCCCCTGCAACGATCACTGACTGAGGCCATATTAATTTGGTAAGGTTGGTATTTCTGGTTGCGTGATGCATTGCATTACCAGTATGACGTATTTTTTTATATCACATATAGTTAATACAGATAAATTAACTGGAATCACCCACGTAAATGAGTGTTGTTCAGAATTCTTGGTCCGGTGTGTCATATTGTATAACACTATAAATGTGCAGAAATTTTTGTTATTGACTGTACATGGTGGGAGTTAAGTTTAAACTCTCCTAGTTCTTATATACCTCGAGTTTTTTTAGAATTTGTAGCTCCAATATCATCGTTGGAAAATTTGTGATGTAATAAAATCGTATTTTTTTATAAATCGATTTATATTTTTCGTCATTTACTGGTATATAAAAATATATTATCTCCATCTAAGGCTTAATGAAGGTTAATTGAAAGAAAATTTAGATATAATAAATTTTTAAGACAGGTACCGTAGCCATGTAACTTGACATAAAACTGATAAATTATATCACCATTGCAGCTTACCGATATCTAAGTTAATCAAAGATATAATTAGCCATAGGAACTTGAAATAAATCTCATCAAATTAATCTCGGAAACAAAATTTGTATGAAGAAATAATTTACATTTTTACCGTGGGTATATATATATATATATATATATATATATATATATATATATATATATATATATATATATATATATATATATATATATATATATATAAATTAAAAATATATATATAATTTTTTTTTTTTTTTCACGTAAATATCAGTCATGTTTTTCTTTGTATAACACAATAAATCGTATTATATCATTACTTCTATTACATGAACAATGGACCAACAAACTAGCCCAAAACAGCATGTCAGGCTACAGGATACTGTATAATATTTGCCATGACCGATAATGTAGTCTATTCGTTCTTCTTAGTCTTTAATTAGCATTGACTCCTATATAGTTCTGTATGACATAAATACCCAGTTATTTGTCTTCGTATATTTTGCGAAGAATATTGTGTTAAAATTAAATGTTATATTTCTTAATGTTTAATTATTATACCGTAATTCCATGGATTTACTGCTGTATTCATTTACTTATATCATCCATCTACTGTGCTCAAAATTCCCAAGTAAACTGTTAATATATAACTGATAAAATGTGAAGGTTAAAATGTACAACTGAATATAATTTTTGCCTCTACAGTCTGCATGTAATTAACATCCATATTTTAAGTTAACAAAATATTCTTAAATAATGTTCTCTAATTGTAAATACTATATGAAAAACTCTTGTTACTGTTGCATGGAAATGATGAAATTTACTGAATTTTTTGTTTATCTTGTATCAAATATAAAGTTCTTCGTGGGCTGAAAGTGGACGGCTTCGATTTTCTTCCGTGGTTGATTTCTCTGTCCTAATGGCGACAACGGAACCGGGGGGGACGGAACCGGGGGGGGGGGTTAGTGTATTAGTATAATGAAGTTCTAAAATTATCTAGATTTGGACCCATACTGTTGCTAGTTACGAGGATAATTACTCCAGCAGTTACTTAAGAACTTTTTTCGGTGTAGGTCTGTATTGTACAGCTGTGGTGTACTGTAGGTCTGTATTGTACAGCTGTGGTGTAGTGTAGGTCTGTATTGTACGGCTGTGGTGTACTGTAGGTCTGTATTGTACAGCTGTGGTGTACTGTAGGTCTGTATTGTACGGCTGTGGTGTACTGTAGGTCTGTATTGTACGGCTGTGGTGTACGTAGGTCTGTATTTGCGACGGGCTGTGGTGTACTGTAGGTCTGTATTGGTACGGCTGTGGTGTACTGTAGGTCTGTATTGTACGGTTGTGGTGTACTGTAGGTCTGTATTGTACGGCTGTGGTGTAACGGTGGTCTGTATTGGTACGGCTGTGGTGTACTGTAGGCCTGTATTGTACGGCTGTGGTGTACTCAGGTCTGTATTGTACGGCTGTAGGGTACTGTAGGTCTGGTATTGTACAGCTGTGGTGTAGGGTACGTCTGTATTGTGCCGGCTGTGGTGTACTGTGTTCATTGGTATTGTACGGTTGTGTGTACTGTGGTCTGTATTGTAATGGCTGTGGTGTACTGTGGTAGGTCTGTTGTACGGCTGTGGTGTAACTGTAGGTCTGTATTGCATGGCTGTGGTGTACTGTAGGTCTGTAGCTGTACGGTTGTGTACTGTAGGTCTGTGTTGTACGGCTGTGGTGTACTGTAGGTCTGTATTACGGCTGTGGTGTACTGTAGGTCTGTATTGTACGGTTGTGGTGCATTGTAGGTCTGTATTGCAACAGCTGTGGTGTACTGTAGGTCTGGTATTGCATGGTTGTGTGTACTGTAGGTCTGCATTTCAGCTGGCTGTGTGTACTGTAGGTCTGTATGTACAGCCAAGGTGTGTACTAGGTCTGTATTGTACAGCTGTGGTGGTATTGTAGGTCTGTGTTGTACGGTTGTGGTGTACTGTAGGTCTGGTATTGGTATGGTTGTGGTGTGTACTGTAGGTCTGTATTGTACGGCTGTGGTGTACTGTAGGTCTGTATTGTACGGCTGTGGTGGGTACTGTAGGTCTGTATTGTACGGCTGTGGTGTACTGTGTCTATGGCTGCACGGTTGTGGTGTGTACCTTTTTAGGTCTGTATTGTACGGCTGTGGTGTACTGTAGTCTGTATTGTACGGCTGTGGTGTGTACTGGTAGGTCTGTATTGGTACGGCTGGTGTACTGTAGGTCTGTATCAGGCCAGCTGTGGTGTACTGTAGGTCTGTATTGTACGGCTGTGGTACTGTAGGTCTGTATTGCCAGCTGTGGTGTACTGTAGGTCTGTATTGGTACGGTTGTGGTACTGTAGGTCTTATTGTACAGCTGTGGTGGTACTGTAGGTCTGCATTGTACGGCTGTGGTGTACTGTAGGTCTGTATTGTACGGCTGTGGTGTATTGTAGGCCTGTATTGTACGGCTGTGGTGTACTGTAGGTCTGTATTGTGTTGCGCTGTGGTGTACTGTAGGTCTGTATTGTACAGCTGTGGTGTACTGTAGGTCTGTATTGTACGGCTGTGGTGTACTGTAGGTCTGTATTGTACGGCCAGGTGTACTGTAGGTCTGTAATTGGTACGGCTGTGGTGTACTGTAGGTCTGTATTACAGCTGTGGTGTACTGTAGGTCTGTATTGTACGGCTGTGGTGTACTGTAGGTCTGTATTGTACGGCTGTGGTGTACTGTAGGTCTGTATTGTACAGCTGTGGTGTAACAGGTCTGTATTGTACGGCTGTGGTGTGCTGTAGGTCTGGTATTGTAATGGCTGTGGTGTACTGTAGGTCTGGTATTGTGTTGGTGCTGTGGTAAAAATTGTAGGTCTGTATTGTACGGCTGTGGTGTACCAGGTCTGTAATTAATGGCTGTGGTGTACCGGTGGCCTGTATTGTACGGCTCTGCGTACTGTAGGTCTGTATTGTACGGTTGTGGTGTACTGTGGTCTGGTGGTCAGCAGCTGTGGGTGTACTGTAGGTCTGAAATGGTCAGGCTTGGCTGTGGTGTACTGGTAGGTCTGTATTGTACGGCTGTGGTGTACTGTAGGTCTGTATTGTACGGCTGTGTGTACTGTAGGTCTGTATCAGGCCAGCTGTGGTGTACTGTAGTCTGTATTGTACGGCTGTGGTGTATTGTAGGTCTGTATTGTACAGTTGTGGTGTACTGTAGGAAAGTCTGTATTGCACAGCTGTGGTGTACTGTAGGTCTGTATTGTACCAGCTGTGGTGTACTGTAGGTCTGGTATTGTACGGTTGTGGTGTACTGTAGGTCTGTATTGTACGGCTGTGGTGTACTGTAGGTCTGTATTGTACAGCTGTGGTGTACTGTAGGTCTGTATTGTACGGCTGTGGTATGGACAGGTCTGTATTGTACGGCTGTGGTGTATCAGTAGTCTGTATTTTGTACAGCTGTGGTGTACTGTAGGTCTGTATTGGTAATGGTTGCTGTGGTGTACTGTAGGTCTGTATTGTACGGTTGTGGTGTATCATGGTGGTCTGTATTGTACGGTTGTAGTACTGTAGGTCTGTGGCTGTGCAGGCTGTGGTGTACTGTAGGTCTGTATTGTACGGCTGTGGTGTGTCCTGTAGGTCTGTATTGCAATGGCTGTGGTGTATTGTAGGTCTGTATTGGTAATGGCTGTGGTGTACTGTAGGTCTACATTGTACGGCTGTGGTGTACTGTAGGTTTGTATTGTACGGCTGTGGTACTGTAGGTCTGTATTGTACGGTTGCGGTGGGTACTGTAGGTCTGTATTGTACGGCTGTGGTGTACTGTGGTCTGTAATGGTATTTCTGGCTGTGTGGTGTACTGTAGGTCTGTATTGTACGGCTGTGGTGTAACTGTAGGTCTGTATTGTACGGCTGTGGTGTACTGTAGGTCTGTATTGGTACAGCTGTGGGTGTACTGTAGGTCTGTATTGTACGGCTGTGGTGTACTGTAGGTCTGTATTGTACGGTTGTGGTGTACTGTAGGTCTGCTGTATTGGTACGGTTGTGGTAAAAATTGTAGGTCTGTATTGTACAGCTGTGGTGTAATTGTAGGTCTGTATTGTACAGCTGTGGTGTACTGTAGGTCTGTATTGTACGGCTGTGGTGTACTGTAGGTCTGTATTGTACGGCTGTGGTGTACTGTAGGTTCATTGTATTGTACGGCTGTGGTGTCTCTGTAGGCTGTATTGTACGGCTGTAAATTGTAGGTCTGTATTGTACGGTTGTGGTGTACTGTAGGTCTGTATTGTACGGCTGTGTACTGTAGGTTTTGTATTGTACGGCTGTGGTGTACTGTAGGTCTGTATTGTGGCTGGCTGTGGTGTAATTGTAGGTCTGTATTGTACGGTTGTGGTGTACTGTAGGTCTGGTATTGTACGGCTGTGTACTGTAGGTCTGTATTGTACGGGTTGTGGTGTACTATTGTAGGTCTGTATTGTACGGCTGTGGTGTACTGTAGGTCTGTATTGTACGGCTGTGGTGTACTGTAGGTCTGTATTGTACAGTTGTGGTGGTACTGTAGGTCTGTATTGTACAGCTGTGGTGTAGTGTAGGTCTGTATTGTATGGTTGTGGTGTACTGTGGTAGGTCTGTATTGTACGGCTCTGTGTACTGTAGGTCTGTATTGTACGGCTGTGGTGTATTGTAGGTCTGGTATTGCATGGCTGTGGTGTACTGTAGGTCTGTATTGTACGGCTCTGGTGTACTGGTAGGTCTGTATTGTACGGCTGTGGTGTACAGTAGGTCTGTATTGCACGGCTGTGGTGTAGGTCTGTATTGGTACGGTTGTGGTGTAGGTCTGGTATTGTACGGTTGTGGTGTACTGTAGGTCTGTATTGTACGGCTCTGGTGTACTGTAGGTCTGTATTGTAATACGGCTGTGGTGTACTGGTAGGTCTGTATTGTACTGGCTGTGGTGTACTGTAGGTCTGTATTGCACAGCTGTGGTATTGCAGGTCTGTATTGTACGGGTTGTGTACTGTAGGTCTGTATTGTACGGTTGTGGCATCAGGTTCATTGTATGCATGTGGTGTACTGTAGGTCTGTATTGCACGGCTGGGTGGTGGTACTGTAGGTCTGGTATTGTACGGCTGTGGTGTACTGTAGGTCTGTATTGTACGGCTGTGGTGTACTGTAGGTCTGTATTGTACGGTTGTGGTAGTACTGTAGGTCTGTATTGTAATGGTCAGGAAAATTGTAGGTCTGTATTGTACTGCTCTGGTGTACTGTTGATCTGCATTTTTATGTTTCAGGTGTACAGTAGGTCTGTATTGTACGGCTGTGGTGTAGGTCTGGTATTGTACGGTTGTGGTGTAGGTCTGTATTGTACGGCTGTGTGTAGGTCTGTATTGTACGGGCTGCGGTGCAGGTCTGTATTGGTACGGTTGTGGTGTAGGTCTGTATTGTACGGCTGTAGAGTCTGTATTGTACGGTTGTGGTGTAGGTCTGTATTGTACGGCTGTGGTGTAGGTCTGTGGTTGTACGGCTGCGGTGCAGGTCTGTATTGTACGGTTGTGGTGTAGGTCTGTATTGTACGGCTGTGGTGCAGGTCTGTATTGTACGGTTGTGGTGTAGGTCTGTGTTGTACAGTTGTGATGTTGATCACTTGCCGCACCATCCTTATCAGGCGCCAATATAGTGGACTGTACTGTACACGCTGGGCTGTTAACCTCTCACTGTTTACTCGAGGAAACTTTGGTAGAAGTAGTTTATGTGGGTATTTGTGATATAGTTTTCCCTGATAGTTAATGTAGACAATGAAGAGAAATGTTGTAAATTTCATAGGGAGATATTAGGGAGTGGGTCACTTTACAAAAGCATTCAATGCAAAGAGAGGAGAAACCATGTGGTGTGTGTGTGTGTGTGTAGTTGTGCGTTTGTCTTTAGATAGTGTATAGTTATGTGTATAGTGTAGTGGTGTGTAGTTGTGAATTATTAAAGTGCATCTCACTACCTGTATTAATAATAGGTCTCTCTCCTTGTTCTCAGATCCCCCTGTTGGGAGGATGACGATGCCCCCAGTCCAGATATTATAAACGACTTCAGCGGCGACGAGGAAGACGACAACTACGACCGAAATGAAATAGACAACCCCCCGAGCCCCCCGGGTATGACGAACAATCACAGTTGTCAGTCATCTCGAGAACAGGGTCCTGGGAACAACTGGGGAAGTGCAAGTAGCCCTATCAACCCAGGAGGTGCAAATAGCACCATCAACCCTGGAGGTGCAAGTAGCACCATCAACCCTGGAGGTGCAAATAGCACCATCAACCCTGGAGGTGCAAATAGCACCATCAACCCTGGAGGTGCAAATAGCACCATCAACCCAGGAGGTGCAGGCAACACCATCGACCCTAGAAGCAGTAGTAGTAGCACCATCAACCCTGGAGGTGCAAATAGCACCATCAACCTGGAGGTGCAAGTAGCACCATCAACCCTGGAGGTGCAAATAGCACCATCAACCCCTGGAGGTGCAGGCAACACCATCGACCTAGAAGCAGTAGTAGTAGCACCATCAGCCCTGGAGGTGCAAATAGCACCATCAACCCTGGAGGTGCAAAATAGCACCATCACCCTGGAGGTGCAAATAGCACCATCAACCCTGGAGGTGCAGTAGCACCATCAACCCTGGAGGTGCAAATAGCACCATCAACCCTGGAGGTGCAGGCAACACCATCGACCCTAGAGCAGTAGTAGTAGCACCATCACCAGGGGTACAAGTAGCACCATCAACCCTGGAGGTGCAAATAGCACCATCACCCTGGAGGTGCAAGTAGCACCATCAACCCTGGAGGTGCAGAGCACCATCACCCTGGAAGCAGTAGTAGTAGCACCATCAACCCAGGAGGTGCAGAAGTAGCACCATCACCCTGGAAGTGCAAATAGCACCATCAACCCAGGAGGTGCAAATAGCACCATCAACCCAGGAGGTGCAAATAGCACCATCAACCCAGGAGGTGCAAGTAGCACCATCAACCCAGGAGGTGAGGCAACACCATCGACCTGGAGGCAGGCAACAAATAGACCCTAGAAGCAGTAGTAGTAGCACCATCAACCCAGGAGGTGCAAGTAGCACCATCAACCCTGGAGGTGCAGGCAACACCATCGACCCTGAAGCGGTAGTAGTAGCACCACATCACCAGGAGGTGCAGGAGCACCATCAACCTGGAAGTGCAAATAGCACCATCACCAGGAGGTGCAAAGCACATCAACCCCTGGAAGTGCAAATAGCACCATCAACCCAGGAGGTGCAAGTAGCACCATCAACCTGGAGGTGCAGGCAACACCATCGACCCTAGAAGCAGTATAGTAGCACCATCCAACCCAGGAGGTGCAAGTAGCACCATCAACCCTGGAGTGCAAATAGCACCATCAACCCAGGAGGTGCAAGTAGCACCATCAACCCTGGAGGTGCAAATAGCACCATCAACCCAGGAGGTGCAAGTAGCACCATCAACCCTGGAGGTGCAAATAGCACCATCAACCCAGGAGGTGCAGGCAACACCATCAACCCCAGGAGGTGCAGAGTAGCATCAGCCCTGGAGTGCAAATAGCACCATCACCCAGGTGCAAGCACCATCAACCCAGGAGGTGCAAGTAGCACCATCAACCCTGGAGGTGCAAATAGCACCATCAACCCAGGAGGTGCAAGTAGCACCACAACCCTGGAGGTGCAAGCACCATCAACCCAGGAGGTGCAAATAGCACCATCAACCTGGAGGTGCAAATAGCACCATCAACCCAGGAGGTGCAAGTAGCACCATCAACCCTGGAGGTGCAAATAGCACCATCACCAGGAGGTGCAAGTAGCACCATCAACCCAGGAGGTGCAGGCAACACCATCGACCCTAGAAGCAGTAGTAGTAGCACCATCAACCCAGGAGGTGCAAGTAGCACCATCAACCCTGGAAGTGCAAATAGCACCATCACCAGGAGGTGCAAGTAGCACCATCAACCCTGGAAGTGCAAATAGCACCATCAACCCAGGAGGTGCAAGTAGCACCATCAACCCTGGAGGTGCAAATAGCACCATCAACCCAGGAGGTGCAGGCAACACCATCGACCCTAGAAGCAGTAGTAGTAGCACCATCAACCCTGGAGGTGCAAGTAGCACCAACAATAACCAGGAGGTGCAAATAGCACATCAACCCAGGAGGTGCAAGCAGCACCATCGACCCTAGAAGCAGTAGTAGTAGCACCATCAACCCTGGGTGCAAGTAGCACCATCAACCCAGGAGGTGCAAGTAGCACCAACACCATCAACCCTGGAGTGCAAATGGCACCATCAACCCAGGAGGTGCAAACAACACCATCGACCCTGGAAGCAGTAGTAGTAGCACCATCAACCCAGGAGGTGCAAGCAACACCATCGACCTGGAAGCAGTAGTAGTAGCACCATCCACCCGGGAGGTGCGTAGCACCATCAACCTGGAGGTGCAAATAGCACCATACCGGAGGTGCAGGTAGCACCATCAACCCTGGAGGTGCAAATAGCACCATCAACCCCAGGAGGTGCAAGTAGCACCATCAACCCAGGAGGTGCAGGCAACACCATCGACCCTAGAAGCAGTAGTAGTAGCACCATCAACCCAGGAGGTGCAAGTAGCACCATCAACCCTGGAGTGCAAATAGCACCATCAACCCAGGAGGTGCAAGTAGCACCATAACCCTGGAAGTGCAAATAGCACCATCCGCAGGAGGCAAGTAGCACCATCAACCCTGGAGGTGCAAATAGCACCATCAACCCGGTGAGCAACACCATCGACCCCAGAAGCAGTAGTAGTAGCACCATCAACCCTGGAGGTGCAAGTAGCACCAACACCATAAACCCGGAGGTGCAAATAGCACCATCAACCCAGGAGGTGCAGGCAACACCATCGACCCTAGAAGCAGTAGTAGTAGCACCATCACCCTGGAGGTGCAAGTAGCACCAACACCATAAACCCAGGAGGTGCAAATAGCACCATCAACCCAGGAGTGCAGGCAACACCATCGACCCTGAAGCAGTAGTAGTAGCACCATCACCCCTGGAGGTGCAAGTAGCACCATCAACCCTGGAGGTGCAAGTAGCACCAACACCATCAACCCTGGAGTGCAGGCACCATCAACCCAGGAGGTGCAGGCAACACCATCGACCCTAGAAGCAGTAGTTGCACCATCAACCCTGGAGGTGCAAATAGCACCATCAACCCAGGAGGTGCAAGTAGCACCATCAACCCTGGAAGTGCAAATAGCACCATCAACCCAGGAGGTGCAGGCAACACCATCGACCCTAGAAGCAGTAGTAGTAGCACCATCAACCCTGGAGGTGCAAGTAGCACCATCAACCCTGGAGGTGCAAATAGCACCATCAACCCAGGAGGTGCAAGTAGCACCATCAACCCTGGACATGCAAGTAACACCATAAACCCTGGAGGTGCAAATAGCACCATCAACCCAGGAGGTGCAAGTAGCACCATCAACCCTGGACATGCAAGTAACACCATAAACCCAGGAGGTGCAAATAGCACCATCAACCCTGGAGGTGCAAGTAGCACCATCAACCCTGGAGGTGCAAGTAGTGCCGTCATCCCGGGAGGACAAAGTTGCACCAAGAAAGTGTGTGTTAAGAGAAGGCATGAGGCCGGAGCGTCAGGTGGTGACCTGGACGCGACTGTTGGCTTGCAGAAGATGAGAAAGACCCCTGTATCGCATGACAAAGGGGTGCTTTACTTTCGCCATCAGCTGGAGCCTACGATGGATGACAATGGTCCCATGGTTAACCATTTTGCCATGAGTCCCCCCCAGTCTCCTGGTGAAGGACGTGCAGACGACACCACGCCCTTCCACCAATAGCAGCAACACGGATAAGCAGTAGGGCGGGAAGGCGTAGGGACGTAGCGACCCCATCGCCCGCTACCGGTGTGGAAGCGCAGTCAGCTTATTGGTGAGCCTCTTGGGTTGGGTGGAAGCTGCAGATGAGGAAGGTAACTGTTTGACTTGAACTAAAACACAAAAATAACCTCCAGCTAAAATAACCTTCAAATTACACCTAAGGCTCCAGCTTGGCTATTTACGTTAAGTTGGTAGCTGTTAGAAGATTACTATAAAGTTTAGTTATTCTCTACCTTAAATGTATCTCATAACACTACAGTAGTTAAGGTAAAGCCTTAAGTGTAATTTGAAGGTTATTTTAGCTGGAGGTTATTTTTGTGTTTTAGTTCAAGTCAAACAGTTACCTTCCTCATCTGCAGCTTCAGGAACCCCACCCCCCCCCAAGAGGCTTACTTTTGGCAATCCCTGAAGCCAGATCACCACCAGTGCCGGTGGTGGTCACAGAAAGACGGGTTGGAATGGGAGGAGATAACCTCTCTACTGTAAAACAGAAAAATCAAAACTCCTATCATAGTATTTCAGTTAACCGATATCTTCCGGTCGAGTAGTGTATACGGTTACGCGCTCAGACCCAAGGTTCACCATATCCATTCATGCATGATTTGTTCTCTGTTCTGATTCACCTGATGCTACCTACAACAATATACACTAGACACTACCGACAACAATATTGCAGTAACTACAACCATTAAACTCCCTGGAACATTATTCCACATCCTACAATTATTACACTACCTACAACAACAGTAATACATATGATTTTAATCATTTGGTCATACCACAAAATTTGATTCACCTGAAGAACAGATACCCCAAACTTATTTCACCTGAAGATTAAACACCCTGACTGCACCTTGTTTGGGTTAGGATAGCGTTAGATTGGGTTAGCTTTTGCTTAGGTAAGGTCAAACGAGGTTAGCATTAGGTTAGACGAGGTTAACGTTGGGGTATTTAATCATTAGGTGAAATAAGTTGATGTTTAATCTTCTGGTTCAGCTAAAACTCTGATTTGTGTACGAAACCTTAGCAGGGTAATTTGTATTTTGCGCAAATTTGGAGCTCATATGCAGTGTTAACGCTCATAGGAGCGTTATTGGTTTGTTGCTGGAGAAATAAACCCTCAACGTTGACGCGTACCATATAATTCGGTCAAAACTTGTTAAAGAACATTTCTCATATAACAAATGCTGTTATCTCAGGACACATCATATGAATAATACAATCAATATACAGTACATAGCCTGTTAACATCTTAAATATAACTCGCATGTTATAACTATTGATACAGGAGACAATTGGTATAATATGATCAAATTACAGTACACAAATATACTTATTAAAGTTATTTAGAGTTTCTTAGCAGATTCTTATACTTCACGATCACTCACGTTTTAGGGTCTAGTGGTCTGAACCAACGTGTTGTCTGGCCTGTAGAAATCAGTAGACTACCCTCGAGGGCAATCTCAGCCCGGAGGCGAGGGCCATATGTTTTCGTATTGAAACACCTCAGCAGATTGGCCAGCAAATTCGTTGTCAACACTTTATCTCTTATCTCACCCCCCCTCTCTCTCTCTCTCTCTCTCGCCTAGTTTATCTTATTATGGTTATCCCTCTCTTTCTCTCTCTCTTCTAGCTTATCTTACTGTGGCGGTAACATGCAGTACTTAATTACGGCTCTCAGTTACCGTTTATGTGCCATAGGGCCCTTATTGTGCTGCCTATACCCCACATAGGCAGACCACA